ACCCTTATGCAAGAGTGGCAGTTTTGCCTACAAACACACCACCAAGAGCATTGGGTTTTACGCTCCGTACCAGTGCTGAATAGAAAACACCAAACGCAGCGAACAAGACACCGGTACCGGTGCCCGTGCATAATTGTTTGCACCGGTATGCTTCGGCAAGCACCAAAGCCGAGTGTTTCTGACTTCGGGAAACACCGCAGCCGAGTGTTTTTGATTTCGGAAAACACGCTTGCTGCTCGTAGGAATTTTCTTTGGGGCGACTTCTGAAAGATTATCGTAGCTCTCACACGCCTTTAGCATCTTAGAAAGCTGATGGACGAAAAGTCAAAGCATTTCTTTCATAATGCCAATGTCCATGGTTCGATTCCAGTCTGTCCGCTTCCATTTTTTTCTGTCAATATTTTTCATAAGGTAAATCTATGAAATTCATTTCGATTTATTTTGGCGAAAAAGCATTACGCAATCTTATAAAGCTTATGAGCTCAAGGGATCATCTACCAGGATTATTAAAAATACACAAATCACCTACTTCGGAAGAGCATGTTGCTGTTGCCATCAACCCACTGGTATTTCTTGGCTTTATATTAAATAATTTAGCTGATTGATTTATTGTGATTAGAGTCAATCTAATAATCATAACTTATCTCCAACAAAAACAAACAGTTCAACTGATTGTATAATAGAAGAGATATATGGGGGGTTTACATAATATGTAATATATTATATGCTGTTTCACTGTAGGATAATAAATAATATATTATATACTGGTTCACTAGCTCTACCAACTCAACTAACTAGCACGAATTTTAGTGGCTCCTAAAATCTCATGCTGGTAGATGCTGACTAGTTATAAGTACAGCTTTAGTTCACTAGCATCAGCACACCAGCACAGATGTAAACACCCAAATAGCGGTGGGTGAACAGAACTACTCACCTCTACTCACCATTCATGTAGGGTAGAACAGCCCGAAATGCACCCAGGGCCAAATGCCCGATTTGATTATTCATAGCTATTCCACTCTTAATTTTGCCGAAATGCTAGTTCAAGTACTAAACTAGCACTGTGACTTGTCAAATTTATGAATTAAAAACAGGAATTCAATGAAAAATCGCATCGAGCGATTTGCGCGAGGTGCATTTTAGGCTGTTTTCGCCTAAATAAAAACAACGCGCTCAAGAAGGATCGCATTCTACCTTCTAGCTCCGTATCAGCCATGGTAGCTGTTTTGTTGTTGTTGGATATAAGTTATCATTATTGGATTGACTCAAATCGCGTGAAAACAATCAGCTCAATTGGTTAACATAAAGCTAAGAAATACCAGTGGGTGAACGGCAACAGAATCCCGCTCTTGCGAAGGTGGGTGATTTGCGCATTTTTAATAATCCTGGTAGATGATCCTTTGAGCTCATAAGATTCATAAGATTAAGTAATGCTTTTTCGCCAAAAGAAATCGAAATGAATTTCATAGATTTAGCTTATGAAAATAATGTTGACAGAAAAAGTTAGAGGGTGACAGACCGGAATCGAAACATGGACATTGGCATTAAGAGACCAATTTTTCGACCACTCGTCTATCAGCTCTAGTCTCGTTTAAGAGCTACCATGTGTAAGAAGATAATCTTTCATAAATCGCCCAAAAGAAAATTCCTGCGAGCAGCAAGCGTGTTTTCCGAAATCGAAAACACTCGGCTGCGGTGTTTGCCGAAGTCAGAAACACTCGGCTTTGGTGCTTGCCGAAGATCCATACACCGGTGCAAACAATTATGCACCGGCACCGGTACCGGTGCCTTGTTCGCTGCGTTTGGTGTTTTCTATCGAGCACTGGTACGGAGCGTTCAACTCAATGCTCTTGGTGGTGTGTAAAAAAGGCAGTACGCAGTGTAGTGTTGCGTTTAGACATGCCTGCTCCGCCAGAGGCATTTATGCTTTCGAGGAAGTCCGTCCAACTGGATCGTTTGGCATCTCGGCCCGATTGGCGACACTGGTTGTGCCGTTCTCGATAGGTACAGAGCGCGTTTTCCCTATCCGGATCATCGATGGAAAGTCGTTTCCTCGTTCCACCATCTGAGGGCTTTACGCCCCGGAATGCTACTGGTTTTCGGGATGGTTGCTGACGCAGCTGCGTTTATTGCTCCAGTGAGATTCTCGATGCTGTCAGGGTTACGTTGTTGAAGGAGCAACTGGAAGGTTTCACCGTAACTCTCCCAATCAAAAAATCTCAACCAATACACCACAGCCGTGCTCGTGCTTCGATTGCCTCGTTCAAAGACGGGTACACAAAATACACTGATATTTGGACTCAACGGCTAGTACCGAACTAGACGGAGTAAATTATCCAATAAACAACATTTATCGCTATTTCGATAGCGACACAAAATCACTTACCCCTTGCCCAAAAATGGGTCAAAGAGATTTTCTGGCACAATTTCGCGGAAAAATCGCGTCGGCTGTCCCGCACAAAAACACATGTTAAAAACAAGACGTAATCCCGTGTAAAGGCGGGCACGATACGATAAAATCACTATAGTAAGACACTAAAAACGAAAAAATTCCACTCTAAAAACAAACCTAACGCAACGAAAGCCTGCTCGTTGATGCCAGTTGCCTGCCGTAGATGTAAGTTGAATAATTCTGAACTAGTTTCATAATATAGAGTGGAAAATTAATCTTTTCAAAAAGTTTACTTATTGAAGAAAGCAAACTTATTGGACGGTAGCTAGAAGTTTCAGCTGGATTTTTATCCGGCTTCAAAATTGGAACATTTTTTGTATGTTTCCATTTATCAGGAAAATATGCCAAATGGAAACATCTGTTAAATAATTTTACCATGAAAGATATTGACTTACCTACTCTTTGCATATCTTTAGTAAACTATGATCCTGATCTATCAATTAAAAAAAAAAATCAGCAACTGTGTGAAAAGTTATTAAGAAAAGAGCAGTCGATATGTACAACTGTGCATGCCAAGCATGTTCGTAGCATTCATCGATTTTTTTAATTGTTGAACAAAACTTGTCTCACTGCTAATTACTTTCCACTATATTTTATTACCTCTCCGAGAGGCATGATGGACGAATACTGATATTATGGATTTATATTGAATTTCCTTCTCTTAATACTAATTGGAAAACTTATAATCACATGAAAATCAAGTAATAACATAAAGACAACAGAATCATAATAAACTACATTAACGACAAATGAACAGATACCCCGTTGTGGATCGAATCGTTACCATCGCACCGGGATCCATTTGTTTTTATCGCTTTCCATATTCAAATTCAGAAAAGCCAGGCGAGATGGTCAAGGTTATATGAATCAATGTGTATATTTGGAATGTAAATAAATGGATTTGATATTTTCCAAACAATGCCTGAACATACGCATACAATTTGTCAATGGAATATTTACAATTGACTCAAAATGGGATAAGTTAATGTTCCGGTCGTTTCCGGTTGAAAAACATGAAAAAGTGTATGACTAGGCACTGAAGAAGTTTGCAAGTAGTAAACGAAATACATACGTATCTGTTATAGTTGAAAGTGATAGTGAATGTAGATTGTGAAAGTATATCATTTGAAAGTTCTATTCTTCCTGGTTATAGTGGTGAAACAAAATGTTTCCGGTTTCGTTTGTTGCGTCACTTTCAATATAAACGGGCAAATTTCCGATTTAAGAATTTGTTTTTCCTTTTTTTGGTAGAGTTACGGCCGTTATATCAAGCATGTACCTTTGTCAATAGATAGATGTTTAATGGTCGATAAATTGAATCAATTGTTCGATATATTTACAAAATTAAAAACGAGTCATAAAATGTATCATATCACTATGGGGTAAATTAATCATTACAAGTACTCTTATTGTGATAGAAAAATATATCAAAATAATTTTTATCAGTTTTGATAAAATATGTGCTCTACTGTGCACCGTTAGACGTTTTATGTTGTATTTCAATTATAGTCAATGCGAATTCCATAGGCCATAAGTGGAACACACCGTAATAGGAAGCGTATACTCATGGCTGATACATCTACCCTACAATATCAATGAAGAAATGAGTTTGAGTTCAACGTGCTACATAAAACATTTCCAAGGATTCATTCTTGGAATTTCTTACAGAAAGACCAACCCCAAAATAGAAGCGAAATTGGTTTTACCAACCAATAAATCAGTTGCTTTACTGATGGATTTATTGTTTAACTGAGTATCAAGAGCGTACGGATTTAATCTTTTCTGTAAACCTTTCAATGCGTATCTTCAGATGGTGCAATCAAAACATTGTGAAGAAGAAATTTTTCCTCATTTTTAATAAATATTTATCTTTCTTTCGCAAAACAGACACGCTATGACTACTTAAACGAAGCAGTACAACACTATAACCAGGAATCTATCCACAACATTAGTGGCACCCCACGTAACACCCGCCTGCCAGGGTTATTAGCAGCTACTTTTCTCCCACACCACATTTGCACGTCCGTAATTCTCAATAGAAGCGAAAAACAACAACACTGTAGGGATGCTGAGATGAATACATAACATTTAATAGCGTGAATATCCGCTGCACGAGCATGCCAAGTGATGTATATCAACACCAGCTTCACAAGCTATGTAGACCGGTAATCACATCAGGACCATTTCCTTGCCACACACTCCGGGGAAATGCTTCCGTTTCTCACATCTTCACCAGCGACATGCCTTCGAGGAGACCACCGCGTCTTCCTAATTCAATGCCGATAATATGTACATAACATACGCTAAACTTTGTTTCAACGATAACTTTCTTCACGCGTCGGAAAATCACTTTGCAAACACCACCAAATTAAATTTCGCTAACTGCTTAAGAACACCAGCCAGCATACACGCAGTCTGAGGCTGAGCGAAAACCATTCCGCAGTTTGTTTTTCCTTATGCTTTCCTTGAGCTGCTTTTACAATAAACAAAAAGTGAAATATTTTCCCATTTCACTGCTATTTATTTACCAACCAACCCAAACACTCACAAATCAACAATAAAGTAAAATTCAGCAACAGTTGTTGGACTTCTTGAGCCAAACTTTTCACGGTCGAAAACGGATAGGGGAATTTGTTTTCCCAATTTTTCCAACCGCACGGCACAACACCCCAAATTGAACTGATGCTATCGGTCCAACGAGAACGCGTTGGAAACGATGAATATCTGCTATCATGATGGACCCATCGTTCCTCCCACGTATATATCCAGACAGTATATAAAAACACGAACAGAAGGAACGATTTTCCGGTAGAGAAATTGAGAAGCGTTCCCATTTTCTCCGAGAGTGTCAGACTCAACAGGAGCGCATCCTTATTGTCAAGCTAGTCTCACGCTGCAGTCATAGTGGAAACACATGGTAGCAAACAATGTCTTTCGCTGTAAGCTCTACCGTGGCAACAGGTGATGATTGGCATGCATCAATTTGTTTTCGACTCGCAGATATTATTATATATTGTCATAAATTGAAATAGTACTGCAGTCTTGGATATCATATTTCTTTCGTTATTTTCATATCAATATTAGATACACTACCCGTCATAACTGTAGAACCGCTTAGAAAAGCTAAGAAAAACACGTTAAATTCTTTGATAAATTATACAACCTCCCCCGAGAAAGTTCAAATTTATGTGTTAAAGCATGAACATTGATGACAGTACAAGTCGTAGTTGCTACTCCGCGAATGACCAGATCCAGCGAAATGTGAACAAAGAACCTAATGAGTGGGGCTTCGGGTTAGCAATCCATTCTCAGCAAAGTCTGGAGAATCAGTACTTTCAAGGTCAATCACGGCGCCGGTCACGTCCTTGCGGTCAACGTGAAGGAACCGTTTATTACTAGCGAACGATACTTCTGCATCTCGACGGTTGCCACGGAAAAGACACTATGGAGAAATACTCAGAGAAAGAGATGAGCGAATAGCATTTTTTGAGCCAAATGAGCTATCCAAATTTGAGCCAAACGTACATTCGAACTTTACATATTCAGAAAATTTCTAATTCTTTTTAGATAAAGTTGGGGAGTGTTGTAAACAAGGAAAATTTAGGAATTTCATTGAATTCCATTTAGGACCTACGATACAGGGAATTTCTTTAACAATCGCTCACTAAAGTCACTCATTCATATACCCCGCACATCCCTAGTGGTGCATAGAGCCAACGTGAAAGATTTCCATCCTGGGCGGCTGTTAGCTTTTGCCTTGATCTGGGCCCATGTCAGATCCCTGTTGACTTCCTTTGCTTATTAAAATACATACGCCCTTGTAAAACATTTCTCTTGAGCAAAAATAGTCTAAGTATCTATAAATGATTAATATTTCCTCCCGTCGAAAAAATAGACAAAATTTCTTTAAATCGGAAAAGTTCATGTCAGATTTTAGCTTTTTCAGGACGATTTCACGTGGACGCAAGGTGCAAAATGGCTTAGGACTAACTGCTTTCTCAATACCAAATATGTACATATAAATACTACATCTCATAGGGACTGCTGATAAACCACGTATACACTTTAGGGGGTGGTGGTGGTGTATATATGCGGTTGAAACAAATTTATTGATATTTGTATAGACGGCTATCTACGCAGAGAGTGTGATGGAGGGTAGGGAGCTCTAAAGCCCTTGAAATAAAGTCTAGGTAGTTTATGAACAGTCCCTTAGCCCTTCCGAAACAAATGAGTACAAAAAATTGATGTCATTAAACCAAAATTTGTATTACTACTAACATATTAAAACCCATCTCATCATTGTCACTGCGATTACAGTCTTTGTCTTTTAGCAAATCTTGAACTTCCTTAAATAATTTAGCTGCTGCTACGGATTGCCCGTGACAATAGTTTGAGATAATTGGGTCATATGCAACGAGTAATCCACAAAATATATCTTGCATGGTTAGTTTAAGAGAACTTTTCCACGAGTGATGAGATGAATAAAAGTGATAGCTCAAAAATACTAAATTTGTTAGAAAGCTATTTGTAACGAGGTTACAGGTATCCATCTAATATAAAAAACAAGGCTCCTTAAGCTGTTTAAATAGATTGAAAGGGTGTCTATTTCAACAGCTTAAAAAGCCTTCCTATTAAAAAAATTATAATAAAAAAAAAAAAAAAAAAATTATAATTTTTTTTAATTTAACGGTTAGAGGCATTCCACGAAGGTGATGATGATGATGGTCCCACCTCTTACCCCTACAAAGGTTTGAGCTGGACGATTTATCTTTAAGATAATTAAATATGACATTTTAACCAGGTTGGCAAACAAAATCGAACTGGTTTCAGTTACAGATATAAATTCCGTCTAGAGTTTACAGTTGCTTCACAGCGATACCCTAATAAAATTGTTATGGTTATTTTGCTTAACGACGTGTTTGGGGTATCATCCAAACCATTTGTGGAAAAGTTCGACAATTTGGGTTATCGTTAGTTTATGGTATTTATTTATTAGGGTATAAATGTGGAAAAGCTCAGGCGTCGCAAATCGATCCTGACCGATCATTTCCAATTACGCTGAAGCTTTGCACAGTTATTCCTTTTTAGTAAAGGCGCCATTTTGTGCTCTCAGTTTTTCATATTGAATCACGACTACTTTTTGAAAAGGGCCTGTGTAAAAATAGTACTAATGAGTTTAAAAATATATATTGTTGAAACGCTTTGTTCAATTTATTCGGTGTCCTCAGCAAAGCTATAGATATTATTTTAGCAATTGTGTAAAAAATAAACACTGTAAAAAAATTAGTTTGTATCAATAAAAAAAATTATATTTATTATTAAAAAAGTTAATTTATCAAAAAGTAAATTTTTGAATTTTCGTTTTAAGCCTCATTGAGCTCATAATGTTTGCTACTGACTGGCAAAGTTTGGTGATTGTAAACTCAAAAACAAAAAAGTTATGGTTTTTTGAAAATTTCACGATTTTTACATTTTCATTAAAAACACATGTTTTTTAACCGTGTATATTTTTTCAAGAATTGCATTTAATTTTGCACAACTTTCCCCAAGACACCATAGCAATCAAGCAAGCCGTTTTTGCAATGTATTAAAATTTTTATTTTATAAGCGCTTTTCTACACAGGCCCTATTGGAAAAGTTGTCGGGGTTCGCTATTACAATTTGTAGAAGCAAATCCCAACTACTTTTGTATTATCAAATTTCAACTTAAATCCACAAAATACATTTTTCTGCTCTTGTTTACTTTTTTTTTATTCGGAAACCTTATGGACAGATGATACACAATTTATTTTCATTGTACTTATCACTTACTTTCTCTTTTTATTTACATCACTTCTTAAATACATCGAATATTTTGGCATCATTATCATAACAGTTTGAGTAACGTTTGGCTTTAATTTTATTTTCTGAAACAGGAATAATAGAATGAAACTTTTGAGTTCCTTGAATTATTTTTGCATTATTATATTGCTCGTTGAGGTGTTTTTTTTTTTTTGTACAGGGGGGAATCTGCTCCCAGACATCTGAGAAGATAACTCAGGGTGTGGGGATGGGAGAAGTAGCGCTCCCGACCCACTAAACCTTACCCTGTGCTCTTGGCTCTTGCCCTCCCCGGAACCGCCCGAAAGCATTGCATCACGGAAGGGGGCCGGTTGCGCTATGGCGCATCGCACTAGTGGTGTGTCACAGACGTGACACTCGCTACTGCACAGTGAGCAGCTGTGCAGGGCCTTCCTCTTATTGTTCGCTGTCCGTGACCGATGTGACCGCTTACCAGCTGCGTGTGCTTAGCACTCTAAGAACCCGGTGTCACTCCTGCCTTTGCACAACGAGGGTTTGTGCAGGGCTTATCGACCTCCTGGGACGAGCTGGATGGGGCTCCAGCGTCCTTACTCTGCTGTAGTTCGTTTAGCCGCAACATCTCTCCCTTGGGTTCGATAATTAACGTTTCCAGGGCACACCACAAGGAGGCGAACTACTTCAAGCCCCATGCTCGTTGAGGTGTGAAGCCATACTTTCGTATTCCTCTGTTGTGGCAAAACTAAATGATAATTTTGTTCTTCTTCTTTTCGATTATTTGCCCAATTATAAAGCTCTCTTGCATTTTTTTATTGGATATTCACGTTCTTTGGTCAAACTTACTCTAGTAGCCATGCGTTTTATTGTACCTCCAATAGCGTCACAAGGACCTTTCCCATGTGATGTTGCAAAGAAATGCCATTCGGCTTCAATTCCATACTTTGATTTAAATTTGCAAAGGCTAGCAAAATTTTTCCGGTTCTTGTACTGTTACGCGACTCCATCGGACATAAAATAAATCTTGTTGATATTTTTACTTTGGTTAAGGCGTAAAAAACTTATCATTTTAGAAATAAATAAGTTAACAGCCACTGAGTCATGCCTTAACTCTTCAGAAATTATAATAAAACTTAAATGTTTAACTTGCATATTTTCTCTAAAATATATAACAAATGGATGAATGGTAGCTTGTTGGACATTCCAGTGATGAGACTGAACTTCATCCTTGCAAATTATTTCGTGTAGTTTTTAAAAAATTAGATTGCTGTGTTTTCATGAAATCATGTGGTATCAAACTTGTCAATTTCAAGCAGAAAAATGAAACAAACTCGTCTGCAGGCTTTACAATAGTTTCTAAATCACATCTATCCGTGGTAACCCACTGTTCAAATGAAAGCTGATCAATGCATTTTTCCTCTAATTGGCAGACTCTAATGCGGAAGAGTCTGGACAATCTTCACAACACCGTAGATAGCAATATGTTGTCTTGTTTTCACAAAGTAGGCTGTCTGTCACAACCCTGCGCTTGTGACGAACCGGTCTACCTACATCAATGTCAACACGACGATGTGCCCAACTATGGCCCTGGCTAACGGACTAACAGCCGTTCTGTCAGATGGTGATGACACGGCGTATGTATGTCAAAAAAAAAAAAAATTGTTGCTAAATTGTTTATTTCACCTAAATTTAGCTTAAAATTATATTTAAAGCAGTGCAGGCTGAGTGCTACTTAATTCTATAGATTAATCCTATTATATACACACACGAATAAGAGGTAAAAGTGAAGTACAACATAAATTCCTAACCTAATGTCCCGATAAATTTACAGCGATTAACTAAGCCTAGTAGTACGGATTGTTGATGCTAGTACGGACAAAAATCACAGAAGAACACTAAACGTAAGTGAATAACTTGATAATTTGCATTGCACTTGACTTTGTAAAATAGTTAAAACAAAAATGCTAGCCACCATGAAACATGTATATATATGCAATCTAAGGTAGAACCCCCAATATTGAACGTGGAAAAACTTAATCTAATATTGTTATTAATATTTTTCTTCAAAGGGATTTTATAACTCCCTCCCTCTCCAACATCACCACGAGAAATAAAGAGTTATAAAACTGGAATACAAAATCTTCTATTGTCTGATTGCTAGCGCGACAATTTATAAAATCCGTTTATACGATCGGGAGGCAAAGTCGGTAGTCAGTTGGTGAGTCAGTCGGTATGTCGAGAAAGGGTGACGGTCAGCAGCGGGGAACATCTCCTGCGAATAATCCACCCGCCGATGTCAGCTGCGAAATTTCCAAGATGCCGGATGATAGTCGGATGGTAGCGTGTGATGTATGTGGAAAGTGGTACCACTTCGCGTGTGTGAAAGTTGATGATGGTGTCCAGGACCGTGATTGGAGCTGCGAGAATTGCGCCGGAGCCGGAGCAGCAGTTCAAGTCCCAGCCGGAAATTCAACATCATCCACCACCGGAGGAGCTACAACAAAGGCAACAAAAACAAAGCTACATGAGCTTGGTCCAGACGACAGTCTTCAACGGCAGCTAGCGGCGATGCAGAAGAAGTTGAATAACCAGCTGAAGGAGTTCGAACGGGTCATGAAGGAGAAAGACGAGCACCGATACAGGGCTCTCAGAGAGCAACGGGAAAAATACGAACAGGAAATGGAGGATACCGAGCGACGTGTACGGGAACGGATGGAGGCTCGTCATCGAATAGTGGACGCGTTCGAAGAAGGACCAACAGCGAGCTCAACAGGCAATCCGGTTCCGCAAGTTCATGTGAACGGTACCGACCAAGCGGGAAATGTTCTGGTACAGGAGCTACAGTTGCTTGAGGAGAAGCAAGCGTTATAAAGGAGACATTTGGAGGAGAAAAGTTAGCTTCTTCAACGGTTTGGAGCGTTCGACGGAGGGGCAGCTCAAGGTGCATCCGGACTCAACCCTCAGGTGAACGCGTTTCATCCAACAAATCGGAGCAATCTGTTTGGTGTCTCTACACTTAACCAAAGCCAGGTTTCAGCGCGCCAAGCTGTTAGTAAGGAACTTCCGAGCTTCACAGGAAATCCTAAAGAGTGGCCCCTGTTCTTCGCAAGCTACGAGAACTCTACTCAAATCTGTGGATACAGCGACGAAGAAAATCTTCTACGTCTTCAACGATGCCTTAAAGGAAAAGCTTTGGAAGCGGTGCGTTGTCGACTGCTGCATCCTTCAAACTTGCCAGGTGTTATCGCTACACTGAGGACGCTGTTTGGAAGGCCCGAGATCATCGTGCACTCGCCCGTTAGCAAGATTCAGGAGATGCCATCACCGAAAGCAGAAAAGCTGAACACATTGATCGATTTCGGAGTTGCTGTTCAAAACTTCTGTGCCACTATCAAGGCATCGGGTCTCGACGAGTATCTGTGCAACGTAGCTTTACTGCAAGAGTTGACGGAAAGATTGCCGCCTGCTGTAAGGCTCAACTGGGCGTACCATCGGCAGACACTGGATAGAGTCACCTTGTCAGACTTTGGAGATTGGCTAGGAAAGTTGGTGGAAGCAGCCAGCGTAGTCACGATTCCAACCATCGGTGTCACGAAATCGGAGAGACGTGGCCGAAAAGAGGATAACTACCTCAACGTATACTCGGATAGCAACCCCACCGAAGAACTCGCCACGAAGACTCGTTCGGTACCAGTTCCGAAAGGTTGCGCTGTATGCCAGGAGGAATGCAGCGGTCCAGAGACGTATTGGAAATTCCTCAACATGGACATCGGAGCCCGTTGAACAGTTGTAAAGGAGCAGAAGTTGTGTCGAAAATGTCTGAGGAAGCATTTCGGCGCCTGTCACGTTAAAACACCATGCGGAATGAACGGTTGTGTGTTCATGCATAGCAAATTGTTGCATAGCGACAAACGGTACAACAAGCCCGCAGTTTCGCAACCGACGGCGCCTACGAGCGGAAATTCATCATCGCAGAGCTGTAACACTCATTCGAATACGGCTGAGCAGGTTCTGTTTCGATACGTGCCTGTGATCATCTACGGAAAAGGGAAGTCTGTGCAAACCTTCGCCTTTCTTGATGATGGGTCGTCGGCCACCTTTATGGAGCACAGTCTGACGAAAGAACTGGATCTCGAAGGAACATCGCATTCATTATGCCTTAACTGGACGGGAGGTCAACAAAGGTAGGAAAAGGAATCGGTGAAGCTAACGCTGAAGGTTTTCGGAACACACGATGCCAGCAAGGTCTACGAACTCCCAAAGGTTCACATGGTACGGAACCTTTCTCTGCCGAAGCAGTCGGTGTAAGTACAACAATTGGCAGCCAAATACAACTACCTGCAAGGATTGCCAGTGGAATCCTACGAAAGTGTGTCTCCAAGAATCCTGATAAGGATGGACAATTGCCGCCTCGGTCACGCGTTGAGAAGCACCAAAGGAAACGAGAACGGACCGGACACGACGAAGACCCGTCTCGGTTGGCTCGTGTGCGGACCGTGTTCAATGATATCTGGAGCAACAAATACAGGTTACAGCGGCTACCACAGTTTTCACATTTGCCCGTGTAGTACGGAAATGGATAAGGATCTGAATGGTGCTTTGAAGGAGTATTTCTCGATTGAGTCGCTGGGAATCTCTGAATCGTCCAAACCACTAATTTCGAAAGACGAAGAACGAGCGCTAAATATTTTATCCACCGAAACACGCCTGAAAGGGAACCGCTATGAGACAGGACTATTGTGGCGGTACGATCAAGTGAAGTTGCCGAACAATAAGGCAATGGCGCTGAAGCGGTTGGACTGTCTGCAGAAGCGGATGAAGCGACACCCCGAGCTGGGTGTGGCAGTGCGAATGAAGATGGCTGACTATGAAGAAAAGGGCTACATTCGGTGGCTTACGACGATCGGAGAAGCATTCGAATAACTGGTACTTGCCAATTTTCCCGGTAATAAACCCGAACAAGCCAGGGAAGATACGTATCGTGTTCGACGCGGCAGCGAGAGTTAACGGTGTCTCATTTCTCCTAACGGGATCAGATCAGTTGGTGTCGTTGCTTAGCGTTCTCTTCAAGTTCCGAGAATTCCGCGTCACAGTTGTGGGAGACATCCGAGAAATGTTTTTTTCAATTCAGGATGAAAAAGCAAGACCAACGAAGCCAGATGATTTTGTGGATCAGCGGAGATCCTGATGAAGAACCGGAGGTGTACGTCGAGCAAGTAATGACGTTAGGTGCAGCATGTTCGCCGTGTTGCGCGCACTACGTCAAGAACAAGAATGCGGACAGATTCGTGGAAGATTATCCAAGGGCAGTCGAGTGCATCAAACACGAACACTATGTCGATGACATGTTGACCAGCGTTGAGACTGAAGAGGAAGCGGTGAAATTTGCGAGCGAAGTCCGATCCATTCACTCACAGGGTGGCTTCGAAATACGTAACTGGTTGTCAAATTCATCAGCAGTCGTCAAGCGTCTACACGAAAACAGTACCACAGAGAAGGACATGAGCCTTTGTGCGTTCATGGCAACGGAAAAGGTGCTATGCATGTGGTTGGATACTGCCACCGATTCGTTTACGTTCCGATTGTCACCGAAGCACAATGTGGACTTGCTTTCCGGAACCAGGATGCCTACCAAACGCGAAGTCCTGCGTATATTGATGGCGATTTACGACCCTATGGGACTCATCTCCAACTTTCTCATCTACTTGAAGATCCTACTGCAGGAAATATGGCGAGCCGGATGCGGCTGGGATGATGAAATCGACGGGAAGCTAGGCGAAAGATGGATAACCTGGGTAGAAGCGTTGCCGAACGTCCAACAAGTGAGCGTACCTCGCTGTTACCGCAATGTGACAACTGCCGAGCCTACGAATACCGTAGAATTGCATATTTTCTGCGATGCGAGCGAAAACGGAATGGCTGCCGTGGCTTACTTCAGGTTCGAAGAAGAAGGAAACATGGAGTGCGCGCTGGTTGGCTCAAAAACAAAGGTGGCCCCTTTAAAATTCCTCTCGATCCCACGACTTGAATTACAAGCGGCCGTAATAGGCGCTCGTCTAGCTGAATGTATCACTAACTCACATCGTATGAAAATATCGCGGCGGGTTTTCTGGACCGACTCCCGTGATGTGATATGCTGGCTCCGTTCTGATCACCGACGCTACAGCCAATTTGTGGCATTCAGGATCAGCGAGTTACTAGATACAACACAAGTAAATGAGTGGAGATGGATTCCGACCAGAAAGAACGTAGCTGACAATGGGACGAAGTGGGCACGGTTACTGGACTTTCAGCCAAACAGTCGTTGGTTCCGTGGACCCGATTTTTTGTGGGAACCTGAAAGCGAATGGCCTGGCGATGGCGGAGATCAAGGCTCAACCACGGAAGAAATCCGTCTCAGCGTTCTCCGGCATACAATCACCGAACCTTTAGTATGTTTTCAACGCTTCTCCAAATGGAAACGGCTGCTGAGGACTGTTGCATACGTTCATCGCTTTGTGGTGAATCTTCATAAGCGTATCAATAGAACAGAAACAGAACTTGGCCCGCTAACGCAGAAGGAGTTGAATCGTGCCGAGAGCATCATCTATCGACACGTTCAACAGCAAGCATACCCGGACGAAATCCAACTGGTCTGCAGCAGTAATCCAGAGGCGCAGCCATGGGAGCGTACTTTGCCGAAGACTAGCCCGGTATATAAGCTCAGCCCATTCATCGACGAGCACGGTGTTCTACGGATGCGTGGACGTATCGATGCTTGCGAGTATGTAGATGAATCTACCAAGAATCCAATCCTTCTGCCCAGGCGCAACTACGTATCCGATCTAGTGCTCGCCGATTACCACGCTAGATACCGTCACCAGAATCACCACACTGCGCTGAACCAGATTCGACTAAAGTACAACATCCCCCGTCTTCGTACAGACTTCGAACGAGTTCGCAGAAACTGTCAGCGTTGCAAAATTTGGTAAGCGAGTCCCAGGCCTCCAGCAATGGGGAACCTCCCAGCTGCCCGGTTGGCACCATTCCAGCGACCGTTCTCTTACACCGGAGTCGACTATTTCGGGCCGATGCGAGTGCTAGTCGGCAGACGTACCGAGAAAAGATGGGGAGTACTTCTCACCTGCATGACAAGCAGAGGCGTGCACATTGAAATAGCACATTCGTTGACGACAGACTCGTGCATCCTAGCGCTACGCAATTTTGTTGCTAGAAGGGGTCCACCGCTCGAGATGATTAGCGATCGAGGAACGAACTTCATCGGAGCCTCGAGGGAGCTGCGCGAAGCTCTTAAACTCGTCGACGAGAAGAAACTGATGGTCGAGTTCGTCGGTCCTAACACAAAGTGGTCGTTCAACCCTCCGGCCGCTCCACATTTTGGTGGATGCTGGGAGCGCCTGATCCAGTCTGTCAAGAAGACCATGAAACGATTTCGACCCCCCGCGCTTGCTTTCGGATGAAATTCTGCGTTCCATGCTAATGGAAATCGAAATGATATTGAATACAAGACCGCTCACTGACATACCTCTAGATAATGACACTGACCTCCCCTTAACACCGAACCACTTTCTGTTGGGTTCTTCGAATGGGAGTAAGCCCCCGATCGTTTTCGACGACAATCCCACTGTGCTGAAGCAATCGTGGAAGATGGCCCAGGTATACGCCGACAGCTTCTGGAAGAAGTGGGTTAAAGAATACCTGCCTACTTTGACCCGCAAGACCAAATGGTTTCAACCCGTAAAACCCATCGAGGAAGGCGATCTGGTGTTGATCGTGGATGGCAACCTCCCGAGGAACTTCTGGCCACGAGGACGTGTGGTCGAGGCAGTCCAAGCTAAAGACGGACAGGTTCGACGCGTGACCGTGCAAACATCTAGTGGACTTCTGGCGAGACCAGTGACTAAGGTTGCGGTGTTACACGTCGGTTCCAATGGTGGTAAGCCACTTCGACAACAGTGGCGTACCGAGGGGGAGTGTCACAACCCTGCGCTTGTGATGAACCGGTCTACCTACATCAATGTCGACACGACGATGTGCCCAACTATGGTCCTGGCTAACGGACTAACAGCCGTTCTGTCAGATGGTGATGACGCGGCGTATGTATGTCAAAACAATAAAAAGCAATAGTCATTTTTCTAAAGTAATTTCTAAAGCGTGCTAGTGCGTAGGTAATACCCCGTTCACATTACAGCGTATATCACGTGATATACGCTGTCTTGCAATGAGCACTCATACATCTAGTTTTCACTGGAAATCCTATGTATGAGTGCTCATTACAAGACAGCCTATATTACGTGATATAGGCTGTAATGTGAACGGGGTATAAGATTGAGAAACAATCAAGGAAAAATTTGTTGCTAAATTGTTTATTTCACCTAAATTTAGCTTAAAATTATATTTAAAGCAGTGCAGGCTGAGTGCTACTTAATTCTATAAATTAATCCTATTATATACACACGAATAAGAGGTAAAAGTGAAGTACAACATTAATTCCTAACCTAATGTCCCGATAAATTTACAGCGATTAACTAAGCCTAGTAGTACGGATTGTTGATGCTAGTACGGACAAAAATCACAGAAGAACACTAAACGTAAGTGAATAACTTGATAATTTGCATTGCACTTGACTTTGTAAAATAGTTAAAACAAAAATGCTAGACACCATGAAACATATACACGCAGAAAAAAATATTTTAAGCGTAATAATATTTGACGTAAATTTAATAAGAATTTCATTTTGTTTTGGCTGCAAAATGAAATCATTATTATTTCAACAATCCAGTATCTTTGTTTTTAAAAACCCATGGATTGTTAAATCAAAAAGAAAATCTTTTCGAATTTACAAGAGCTTTTATGGTTTTGACGTAAGCTGTCAAATTTGGCAGCTGGGTCAACAAAAAAATATGTTTGTTTTTAAAAGAGATTTCTTGTTGATTCAATCATATTTATTTTATTAAGCCTAAAAATATACGCAGTAGAAATAAAAATATGTTTATTGATTTAATTTTTAATTTTTTTTTTGTTTATTAATTTATTTGATAAGGCTCAACCGAATTAACTTTACAGAGCCGAGGATTCTTGGTCACTATACAATACATCTTAAAACTATAGTCAAAAGGTACAACACAATAAACACTTTATCTTCCGCTATCCAAAAAGCCTCCTCCATCAGAACTGGAGCCGCTTCCAGTGGTTTCATTGTATGGCAAATTGTTGTACGCCAACGAGGGTCAGAGCGCGTCCATTGCAGCAATGGACGCAAAACGTGGTCAGCACTCACACACTCATCACGAAACGGTTGCTTTCCAAAGTCGACGACGCATCGACCGAAAGAACTGCTGATGAAGAACAATGAGGAGGACCACACAATGGTTGCTGCCGAGAAAACAGACGATCGCGTAGCACACATCGAGAGTGGCCTGCTTTTGTCGACAGCCGAGTGAACACTGATTAATTTTTAATAATTTGCGATTATTTTTATGTTTTGTTTTCTTTTTGTTACCAACAGAATAACAATTAAATAAAAAAAAAAAACTTTCTGAGGCATAAAATCTCTCCGGTTCATGAATTGATGGGTCGATAGGTAGGGTCCAGGTGTGGGAGCGGCCTTCCTGGCGTTGGGAGCATTGGTACTCAGTACTGAAAATAAGATCGACGGAAAAATCAAGGAAAAGAAGAAAAACTGTTTATATTATGCAACAGCAGCATACTTACTTACCTCTAGAGCTGAATCAAACGAGAATTTTTTTGTTATTGTTTACATTTTGTCCGGGTTTTCACGAGGGAATGGTTGGTAGTTATTTTTGCATTCATGGCCCGGGGAATTGACACAACAAATAAATGTTAAATTAAAATTAACTATTGTTGGCTTGATAAAAGAATATTGTTATTTTTACAATAGTTGCAGTTGAAGAGTGGCTTATGAAAACAAAAAGAATCTTATTTTGAATTTATTTGAATAAATATTATCGAAACAATAAAATGTAATATAATTTCAACCGGAATTGTTTGTGTAAATACAAATAAAGTTTTTTTTGGTTCAATGCAAACAATTTTCTGTCCGTGTATATATGGAATCTAGGGTAGAACCCCCAATATTGAACGTGGAAAAACTTAATCTAATATTGTTATTAATATTTTTCTTCAAAGGGATTTTATAACTCCCTCCCTCTCCAACATCACCACGAGAAATAAAGAGTTATAAAACTGGAATACAAAATCTTCTATTGTCTGATTGCTAGCGCGACAATAGTGAACGTTTTTACATCATTTAAATGGTTAAGTTTTTTCAAACTGTGTAAAATTAGATTGCTGTATTCATGCGTTGTGCACACGCAAACATTGTGGGTTCCAGAGCTGGTTAAAAGTTTACATTGCTTAGGGCGGAGTTTTGCAAATGAAGAAAATCCAATTTTTACATTGCAGTGAATTTTATTGAATCGTTTATAA